AAACAAGCACTGTGCAGATGGACACCTGTCCAGACCAAGACTTCATGTCTCCTGGTGTAGAGGCTATAACCCTCAGGCACAGCCCCACAACATCCCAGGTTTTCAAGGGTGTTCTTGATTGTCTCCATGCCACTCCCTCTGCCTAGGACATGTCAGAAGTGGCATGTCAGAGTCCCTCCACAAGGACCACAAGGGAGCTCAAACTTCCCTGTCTGGCAAGTGCCATCCTGCAGGTTTCCCTTGGGCCATCACAAAAGTTTTAGTTTGTCTCTTTCTTCCTTTGTGCCCATCTTGGTGCTATCTGCCCCTTCTCCTTAATATCATCCACTGGAGTACTTTCTTACTCCTCATTATGCTGACTATTTTGTCTGCAAAAGCCATCTCCTTGCAGGTATCCTGCCAGGCCTCCTAATCCCTTCCATGCTGAGATCCATGTCCCCTAACAGCCAGCCCTGCTGCTGGTCAGACAGACCAGAGGGTGGTAGAGTGGTCTTGTCAAGCTGGGCATGGCAGCCCAAGAGGACACCAAGGTGCAGGGGCCATCGCCAGGTGGGCTCTGTGCCTTCCCTCCCCACAAGGCCAGCAGGCAGCTCTGGCAGGGAGCAGGAGAATCCAGGAGACACTACAACCATGTAGGACAGGAGCAGTCGCCCTGGGAGCAGTTAATGTCCCCTGCACAATTTACACATCATTGCACCCTTGTTAGCAAGATCCAGCTTGTTGCACCTCCTGTGCAATTCATAATCACTTAACAAAGCCACTGATGTCAAATTAGCCAAACATCAGCAAGCAGGGAATGGTTGTCAAATTCACCCTATTAACTGGTGGCGAATTATCTCATTGTGCCTCCCATATACTAATTGCAAACTGTTTCCTGTAGCCCACCAGTATCATTTAAGCTTTAGGAAGGATCAAGGCAGCAGCTGTGTTTCTCCAGTGCTTTTCATGCTTCTGCACCCACCCTTGGAGCTCCATTTGCAGCATGGAGGAGCTGGCCTTCCCCATTTTGCTAATGGAACTAGATGTTCAGAGAGGAGTTTGCAGCTATTTAGTTCCATCAGGGGATGAGGGGATGCTGTCAGCATCCCTTTGGACAATAGAGGAGTCTGATGCAGAGCCAGGTTCCAGGGGCTGGTGCAGAGCTGAGGGGTTCCAGGCTGCAAGCAGGCAGTGCAGGCAGCAAGGACCTCTTTGCCCAGTGGATTGCAGGTTACTGTACTGTGCTTACAGGGAAGAACAAGGCATCTGAACACCCTGCCCTGTGCACAGCTGCTAACTACAAAATCACAGAATGGTCTGAACTAGAAGGATCTTAAAGACCTTTCCATCTCTTTCCAACCACCCTGCCCTGGGCAGGGACACTCTCCACTATCCCAGATTGCTCAGGGGCCTCTCCAACCTGGCCTTGATCACTGCCAGGGATGGGGCATCCACAGCTTCTGTGGGCAGCCTGTGCCAGTGCCTCACCACGCTCATAGCAGCCTGGGTACAGGGCTGGAAACCAGTGTTGAGATTTCTCAAACAGAGCATCTCAACTCTGTTCTGAGTCTGGGAGGTGATGGAAGGCAAACCATAAAGATCTTTCACATGCTGTGCCAAACACCAGGGACAAAGCACTGCAAACACTGCTGTTAGCCAGAGATGTGAAACTTGCCTTCAGGACACTCCAAAATGCAGCTTCAGGCAATGCAGCACAGGTCCTCAGGAAGGGCGATGTCCCACAGCCTGATTTTTCTGCCCCATCTCACCCTCCTCACCACCTTGTGGTGCCCACATTGTGTCTGATGACTGATGGACACTCCTGGGCCTTTAAAGTTTGGAAGAGTAGTTTCCCCACCAGGGCCAAGAGTGAGGGTCTCTCCAGGGTGTGCAAATGGTGACCCACTGGTAGGAAGAAGCTCTGAGAGAAGGCAGAAAGGAAAGGACTCCTGAGAGCATCCTTGAGCACCAAGAATAATTAAGTGGGCTTCCTGCCAGATTTTTCCAGATGTCTAATTAAAAAAAAAGTCTGCTCATCTGGCTGATCCCAGTGCAGAAGGCTCCCCAGCTCAGCCTCAGCTTGCCTTTGTGATGGGATGAAGGCAGCCACTGAGCTGCTGGGTGCAGAGCTCTTCCTGCTGGCCTTTCTCCTCTGGCCTGATCTGGGTATCCAACTGGGGAACAGTGGGACATAAACCTCACCATGCAGACACCAAGGGAGCCACAGCACAGCTGAACCCAGTCCATGGGAGACTCCATCCTCACCTGCTCACTGCAGTCACTCTGGTTTCCCAAGGAACCATGAAGACCAACAGCATGCAGGGAACATTGCTGTAGGGCAAACCAGTGCTGTTTCTCAGAGAAATCTGGTAAATCTTGTCATGCTGCAGTCACAGTGCAGCTTGCTGTAAGAACTTCTTAGCTCTCTGCTCTGGGTCTGCTGCAAGTGCACAAGAGCACAAGCAGCACTGGGGGAAAATTCCTGGCACAGCATGACTGGTCATGGGGGACTGCCCAGGGCAGGAAAACAGCCTCAAATATTGCAAGCTGCAAAGCTGCTGGAGAAGACAATTTGGCTGCTGCGAAGACTGAAAAGATAAGATAATTAAAAGAATATAATAATATAAGAAAATTAAAAGAAGGTCCAATACACATTTTCTCCACAGGTACCCAGAAATTTTTGCCATCTGAGGTGCCATTTCCCTCCAAAAGACCACAGAGACCTCATGGATCCAGCTGGATACAACATTCCTCTTCTGACAGAGCAGCCACTGCAGGCTGACAGGGGCGTCTGCTGCACCCTGCTGCAGAGCAGGACCAGCCAAACCTCCCTGCCATGGGTCCAGAGAGAAAAACAGACCTCTCCTGAAGGAGGAGGGATGGGAGGCAGTGAGGAATCACAGAGTCTTTTAGGTCAGGAACGACCTCCAAGACACTGAGTGCAATCTTTGACCAATCACCACCTTGTCAACCAGAGCACAGCACGAAGGCCATGTCCTCCTCAGACACCTCCTGGGATGATGACTCCACCACTTCCCTGGGCAGTCTGTTTCAATGCTTGACAACCCTTTCCATGAATAAATTAATGAAAACAACACTGCTGACAATTTCTAGAGCAGCTCCAGGCTCCCTTCTTACTGTGGCTTCAGGAGGTCTCTGAACCCAAATTAGTGTTTCTTGACCATTTCCCTGTGTGATGCTGACATGATATTTTTGCTGCTAGAGAGGATTTTGCACAAAGAGCTTGGTGCCTGAGCTCACCAAAAAGCCATGAAACTTTGCTTCACCAAAAAGATGTGAAACTCCTCCAAGCAAACAGTGCCCACCACCCATACATAAGGTACCCATCACGTACATATGGTAAAATCCCCCTTGCCCGTGTTTCCTTGAGAAAAGGGAATGACATTGCCTTGAAGACACTCATTAAAAAGAATCAAAACTAGATAAAGAGCCAAAGAGATGAATCCTTTTTCCCTATGCAGGAAACATAGGGACTGGATAAAAATATCCTTTTGGAGGCTCAGCATGGGCACATTCCTCCTCACAAAAAAGACCTTTGAAAGGCCAGCTGAGTACAACTACAGAGCAAGGAAGAAAAGGGGGCAGATTTCACATATTGAAGGCTTGTTCAACTAAGGAATTTTAAAAGAGCACAGCCTCTGGCAGGTTAAATGTAAATACACAATAAGACAGCTGGAAAAGAGTATGAAGATCAATTTGCCATTACCATAAAAATGAATGGTCCCTCCTTCAAGGGTCCCTGTTTCAGGAGCAACAGAGTTTGCAGGACCATGAGGTCACAGAATCACAGAATTCCAGAATGTTGGAAGGTACTGCAGAGGGTCCCACCACCCTGACCATCCTAGAGCCTGTGACACAGAATTGCATCCAGGCAGTTCGTAAGTACCACCAGTGAAGGAAACTCCACAGCCTCTCTGGGAAATCTGCACAGTAAAGAAATTCTTCCTCATATTCAGATTTCTGCCCATTGCCTCGTGCCCTATTGTGCAAAACCACCAAGCAGAGCCTGGTCCATCCTCTCACACCGTTCAGATACTGACAAACATTGATGAGGACCCCTCTCAGTCATCTCTTCTCCAGCTGAACAGGCCCAGCTCCCTCAGTCTTACTGCATAAGAGAGATGCTCCCATCCCTTAATCATCTTCATAGCCCTCTGCTGGATTCACACCAGGAGCAGCACATCTCTCCTGTACTGAGCCCAGACCTGGACACAGCACTCCAGATACACCTCTGGGCTGAGCAGAGGGGCAGGATCACCTCTCTAACCTGCTGCAATTCTCTTCCTAATGCACCCCAGGACACCATTGGCCCTCCTGGCCACAAGGGCTCCACTGGCTCATGGATAGTTTGTTGTCCACTAGGATCCCCAGGTCCTTATCCTTCTGCTTTCCAGCTGGTCAGCCCCCATTCTGTGCTGGTGCAAGGGGTTATTCCTTCTCCCAGATGCAGGGAATGAGGACAAGCCCACAGCAGAACAAAGCAGAGGACCATTGCTATTCAAACACTGCAAGCAGGTTTGGAAGGGTTCCCATCCCATAAGTTTTCTATGGCTGATCTCAAAACAAACCTGAAGACAAGCAGCAAAACAACCCCTAAAGGAGTTGAGGTGGTGGCAGAAGAGCAGGGGTGTTTTCCCAGTTAGAAATGGACAAACAGGCTGGGATGCATGATCAGTTTCTCAGCAGAGGAGCACAGCCCTTCAGTCAGGGAGCACAGGCACCTGCACTGCTCAGTCTGTGGCTGAATGAATTAGGGAAGGGTGTAGACACTGAGGTGACATCTTCTGCCAGCACCACGTGTTTAGGGTAACCTGATTTCTAAAAGCTGCCAAAGGACCTGCCAAAACTGCTTATCAACGAGATGACAAATGAGATACAAGGTTGATTTACACAATGGAAATAAACTGTTTGGGGCACTGCCAAGCTCATGAGCTAGGTGCTGCTGCTCCAGAGAGTGGTACCCGTTGTCAGGACATAACAGCAAAATACCGACAACACCATAAATGTAACAACATAAATCTGTATACATGGACAGTGTGTATGCTCCTGCTCTCCCAGATCCCAAACCAGGGACAACCCAAGGTCTGGGAAAGCTTCAGTACCAGGAGGAATTAGTCAAGTGGGACACTGTTGCCTGGAAAAGAGATTGTGTACAGCCAGGGAAAATAATAGTCCTTAAAGGCATGGAGGAGGTGCTGAGGGAGTACATACATTCTTCACTGTCTATTGGTACAAGGAGTGGTCAGCACTTGCAACTTGAACTCCAACAATCCCAGAGCTTGTGGTAGGCTGAGGTATTATTTGGGAGAGGGAGCAGGCTTTACTGGGCATGTGCTAGGCATGTGCTAGTGGAGGAGCCCAGGCAGTGGGTTTGTCTTCCCTCCCAGATGGATCTGTGGTCCAGCTTGGCTCTGATGTGATCAAAATGGGCCATCCTTTAGCAGTGCCTCTCCTTCTTTGCAAAAATAACTGTACTCTGGAGGCCAGTGCAGGAGGAGTTTGGAGCAGGACCAGTGACTCCAGCAATCATCTGCCTGCCTTCAAAGGGAAGGAATTCCTGAGTTTCCCAGAGCTTGTGGTCCTCCTGGTTGCCCTGGGGCAAATAGAGTGACAACAGTGCTGAAAACCCAGAATCCACACCCTTCTCTCCAGGGATTTTACTCCACATGTCCTATGGGCATTCAAGAGGCTGCACAAACACCTCCTGGCTCCATCCCAGTCAAACTGGGTGTCCCCCCCACCCCATCCCAGCATCGTCCTCCCCAACACACTGTAGCTGAGACCTGCTGCAGGCACCTGGCAAGTGCCCCATTTTTCCATCCCTGTGAGGTAGGCAAGGCTTTAGGTTTTGGAGGTAATGAGCTCATGGTGACAAGCTGAAGCAAGATTTCTGGCTGCTGTAGCTAGCCCAAACACTCAATTAAAATGAATCCACTCTCAGTTCCAGTGCTGGGCAGCTCACAGCAGCATGGTTGGTCATGCCTGCAAAGGAGCTTGTGCCAGTTTTGCCCGGACAGTAATGCCTGGATCAAAGGAGCTTGTGAAAGAAATTAAATGCAGTGTAGGTAGGTTCTGTGTGCCTGCCTGTTATAAATACACACCAAAAATGTTAGCTTTTAGGCTTAAATTCCACCTTCTAAATGAGCTATTATTTCAGCACAGCCATGTAGTTAGACTACATTCTTGCTTTTGTATTTTCATGATTAAAGACAATCTGACATCTTAGATGCCTCTGATGCAGTCCAGAGCTCTTTTCTGTACCTAACCAGCCACAGTCCCCCGTACCTCAGCCCTAATGTGGAGCAGTGAGAGTCTTCAGCTATTGATCAGGAGTCCATAACCTTTTCTGAAATGTGGCCACTGTCCTCAGAGAGCAGCTTTGTCAGGATATCTGTGGTGCTGGAGGCGTGGAGACCATCCTTTGCAGTGTGGCCAGGAATAGCGCTCATGCACTTTCCAGGCCAGCACGTGTCTCTCAGATTAGGGTTCCTCCCTTCCAAGATTAGGTGTTAAGATTTGTAGAAATGCAGCAGACACCCCTGAGATGCTGCTTCTCAAAGTAGCAGGATGATCATGAAGTTTACTCGCTTGGGCCCAGGATGAGGCATTTCATGGGCGGACCCCTCTCTCTTTTCAGGGCAGGGAGCCCTGAGGAGACAGGCAGGGCTGAGAAACTGTTCCCTCCACCAGGCATCTGTCCATGGGCTGCAGCTCCTTGTGTGCTGTGCCCCATTGCCAATCTGGTGATGAGGATGATGATGATGATGAGGTTCATCACTGTGCATTGCTGAGCTCCTTCCTGAGCATCAGCTCGAATACGCTGCGAGAAGATGCCACTATGATCTGTAGAGAATCACCTGTTTTGGGGAAATCAATGACAAATTTCAGCCCTGAGGATCCCACCTTGCACATCACTTGAGCTCCAGCTTTCTCATCATTTTTTACCAGGAGCTAATTCCAACTGTGACACAGACCAGAGATGCAGCTGGCAGAATCAGACCCTGACATCAGGCCATGACATCCATACAGGGTGTGCAGGTTTCATCTGAACGCAAGCCTGTGGCCCTGTGCTTCAAGGTCATTGGCAGGGCAAATAGTTACTCACCACATCTTTTGGAGTAGAAATGCAAGAAGGGTCAAGACAGGTGATAACAGGCCAGTTGCTGCAGAAAAACATCTTACAAACCAGTCCCTGCACACAAAGTCCTGCAGGAGACTGGTCTGCACCTGCCAACACTGACAGAAAGGTTAAGGTTGAGCAGGGCTCTGGGATCCCGTTGGGAAATGGTTTTCTCCAGGAAATTCTTGAGATGACCTGCAGTGATCCACCCTGGGTCTCTCTGAGGGGCAGCCATGGACAGTGCTAGAAAAGCACCACTGAAAGAGAAGCTGAGCCAAAAGCACATGGGGAGGCTGCAGAAAAACTAAACCTGCCCTGTTTTGAGGGAGACAAAACAGCACTCAGGAAGGAGAAATATTCCCAGAGCCACTCCAAAGCAGGCAGGCTGTAAATGCATCTGTTCTTAATGTCATCAATAGCAAGGTGCCACAAAGAGGGGAAAGCCCCTTTCCCAAAATTTCCAGGGGTCAGGCACTGCAAAGAAGTACCTCTCCCCACTGGAGGGACTGCTGCATCACTCCAGATACACAGTGCTGGAAGCAAGAGCAGGATCCAGCCCTGCAGCCCACTTAATATCAAAAAGAAACATCTGTTCCTTTGATTTTTAAAAAAAGGGAAAAAAAAAAAAAAAAGCCAACCAAAAAAACTCCCAAACCAACAAAAAAAGAAACAAGCCTCAGATAACAGCCTGAGTGGTTTCTTGAAGATTTGGATTTCTTTCCCCTTTTTACAAATGGTAATTTCAGACTGATGAAAGGAGAGTAACGTGACACATTGACTACACAAGCTGTCTGCACAGAGGGAAAACAGCTGATGCCCAGAAATGTGGGGTGCTGCTCCAAGCCTTCCCCACCTACTGATACTACACTATTTCCCCGGGCCTCAGTTTCTCCCTGTGAAAAAGGATTTTCTTTTCTGAAAAAACAGGATCAGGCATGGAGGTGGTTTGGCAACTACTTTTTAATGTCCCTTTAGCTCTCAGAGGACATTTCACAAGGCAAAGCTTCCTTCTTGGCACTTTCTTAGCTTCAGGAAAAGCCTTTAGCCTCACCCCTTGGCAGGGAGATTTCTCCTTTATCCTGCCCTTCAAGTCAGGCAGATGATTTTAGCAGAGACTCTGATCCTTAGGAGTCAGAGTGCAGCCCACCAATTCACTTTGACCACCTTGCTGTGCAGGGACTGGCAAAGCCCTCCACCCCCTTGTCCCTGTCCTGCTCCCAAGAGACAGCCACCCTCTGCTACCAAAACTGAACATCAGAAATGCTGCAGCTTGTTTTCATGTCCTTGGGCTGGTTTGTTTTTCCATGGGATATTTTTATTCTTGCCCTTATCCCAGTCATACTGGGGATTTAAAGTTTCAGCCAAAGCAATAAGAAGTAAAGAGCAAAGAAAGTGAATTGAGATCCAGAGCATTTCAATAAATTAAAAGGGAAAAAAAAAAAATTAAAGGATAAAAAAAAATAAAAAATACATAGCCCGGCGCAGAGGAAGCAAAGCAATCAGAGCAAAAGCTGTCAGCTTTGCCAGTTCCCCTTTGTTCGCAGATCAAATTCACTGCCTCGCATCCAAAACTAACAACTCCTAAGTCTCCCTCATGCTCCCTGGGGAGGTGTTTTCTATATTGGAAACAAATCTATTTTGACACTCCTGATGCCGCTTTACCCAAATTGCCCTCTGTCAAGCTGCTTTTCTCGTTCCCCATTTGCACCACACCATGCTCCTGGTTCAAGCCCAGTGCCAGGCAGTGCTGGCAGCAATCTGGGCTTGCACAGACCTGGACAGAGGTTATTCCAAGGTTCCCTACCACCAGGTCCCTCTCCTACCCACCTCTGCCCTTGTGGAAAATTTGGCCCAAGCCAAAGCTCATTTGGCAACCGGGATTGTGCACAGAGAAGGGTCTTGGTGCTGAATTCCAGCCAGCAATGTCTGCTCAAATGTCCTTTCCCTGCACCACCCCAAGACTCAGGAAAACCTGACTCTTCCCTGGTGGGGTTTGGTCACCAGACAAGGGAAAGAAATTAAAAGGCTTTGCAAGCAAAAGGATGGAGTAAGTCCTGAAAATTCATGTTGGCTGCAAACACCCTCAAGGCAACTTCACAATTAAGTATCTGACTAATTCTTACAGGAGCCTTCCAGGTAGGAATTTCAGATGGTCTTGCCCTATCTGTGTATTCAAAAGGGATGATCTCCTGGCAGGAAAGTCTTAAAGCATCCCTGCCGCAGCAGTGACCTCCCTGTGTAGAGACAAGAAGTTTGCAGGGCATCACTAGGAACGGTCTGTAGGATTGTCCTTTGTATGCAGTTAAGGGATTTAGGAGATGTTCCTCATGTACTTGAGGTGTCAGTGGTACTGAATTATGCATGCTCTGGGGGCTCAGGTAGGATCATGCCTGGCTAAGCCACAAGAACGGAGCAAGATAAAGTTTGGCAGGTTTTCCTGGCCTAGCTGAGGACACAACAGCAAGAACCCTTTGATGGAGGCTCCCATCACCACCAGACACTGACCAACCAGCCTGTCCAGCCAACTGATTTCCCCACACAACGTTTATCCAGCACTAAGCCACATAAATTAATTTGTTGGCTGTTTTTCACCCATAACACTCTGAGTTGCTGTGCAATTTTTGATACACACACCAACAAAGCTTTTCTCCTGCACACCACCCCCCCCACAGCTCCAGATGGTGGTCTTTTGCAGGTGCTGAACTCATCCCCCAGAGACTTTCAGAAGAATTAGGATTCTTCTGACTTGTTGCAGGCCCAGCCTTGCTAACCCACTGCCCAGCCTGGTCTTCACTGTGTCCCAAAGCTATGGGGTTTTGACCTGGCCCCACCCAGGCACAGCTTGCATCTGACCCGGTTTCACTAGCGTCCTGCAAGGGTGTGGACCACCCCCACCACCTCCTACGGCCTTTTGTAGAGATCTGCTCAGCGCCAGTAAGGCTGAGGCAGAGACTGTAATGAGGAGAAAATTAAATCATGAAACACTAATAATTATCAGCATCCTAATTAGCTGACAGTGATGGCAGCCAGCCACCAAGAGCTGGGGGAGGAGGGCCAGCATCCCTGCAACTTCTGTGCCTTAATGGCCATGGGGCTCATCTTCACCGTGCACAGATCCATCCCTCTCTGAGGGCAGGCATGGGGGCACACATGAAGACGACTTTCTCTCCTTTTCCTGGCTTTGAGACAGCATTTCACAGCTGCAATTGCTGGACTGGAGTTGTGGAGACCCATGATGCCTTGTCTGCTTGAGAGCTGTACTCTCCTGGTGAGTTGCTAACAGCTAAGGGATAAGGAGGAAGCAGAGAAGCCAGTTTAATATAATTTTCCTTGTTATTATCTCTCTGCTTTTCCCCAGCAATTTGCTCCAACTTGTGTAAAACTCCTTGCCAAACAAGCCCCTGCCCAAATAGACCTTCATGTCTGCAGGACTCTATTTATAACTGAGATCCCATTTAGCAGATAAGCCAAGGGAATTCAAGCAGGATTTAAGCTAAGCAGTTATCTGTGACCAGCGGCCACAGTGTGCATAGCGTCAGATTTACTGGGGATGTGAAAGGTGGAGGGACAGGAGAGCAAACAGCCTCTGGAGCAGCCAGCCAGAACCCTGAGGGATGCAATCACTGCTGGCACCGACACTGCTCACAGAGAGAGACCTCGTGAGCAGCCAAAGAACAGCGAGCAAACCCCTTTCCCTGGGATCTGGAGAGCCTCCTGCACACTCCAGGATCCTGCAGGTATCGGCACCACTTCTCCTCTCCTCCCCCAGCTTCACACCACCTTCCCAGGTATGTATTGCTGGCAAGGGTTACACTTGCCTTCCCAGATAGATATTACAGCCTAAGATGATGCACTTAACAGGGTTGTGAAATCTGCCATAAAGTTTACTGCCCTACATCAATATAATGTCCTGCAAAGTTAATACGGAGGTACCTATTTTATAACAAGGACAAATAAAAACATATCCCATTAGCCCACGGCATTAGGAGCTGCATTTCTGATGGCCAGATGCTGCAATGAAATGGGTGGAGAATTTTAATATGAGTATTATGGAGCTATGCACATGTACATACATACATATATATATATATATACCTATATAAAAATGAGAAACTATTGAATTTGCTCAGATATTCTGTAGTGTTTGGAGGGCTTCATTTCTACACTGCAAGAGAGATTGGCTGCAGATCCAAAGACATTTCTCTGCTATTACACCATGTCAATTTTTCATCATCTCAGAGGCCCTTGTCATAGAAAAAACGGATAAGTTTAAATCGATCCAAGATCAGAGTTAAACACCTGGACTTAAACGTAGCAGACAGTAAAAAGCAAAGAGGAACCACTTACTTCCCACGCAAAGCAGTGGCATTGGGGTCAGTCATTCAGGATGGAGAATCTGAGAACACCTCTGGCCTCTCTAGGGAAGTAGGTGGCTCCTAGAATTAAAAATTCCCTTGGTACCTATGGGTATTTTCATGCTGAAGAGCAGTAGATGGAGCACTGTGCCCCTTAGCTGCTCTGTACTGATGCCCATGGGGTGCAGCTGGGAGACTGAGCATCCCTGGGATGAAAAGGGGCTGCAAACCCAGCAGTGCCAAGCTGGACCCAGCCCATGAGGTCCCAGCCCTTCACCAACATCCAGACAGGCTCTAGCCCAGCACAACTTCAATCCGCTTGCCCTTAGTTCCCCTCTGCCCCTCCTCTGGACACCTTGGCCAAAGATTTTGGCAGGCACATTCCTGATTTCTCCACTTCCAGTCCCAGCGTGTTCCTCTGGTTCAGCTTGGCTGCAGCTCTTGGGGGAACTAGTGAGCTTTTCCAGGATCTGTCCCAGTGCCTTCCCCACAGGACAATAGCTGTCCCAACAGCCACCTGCACGGGACTGGGTGACAACACAGCACTGCTTCTCACCCCCAGAGAATGGACAAGAGCACCCCAGCTTCCCAGTCCAGCCATGTTTCTCTCTGCCCAGGTACGCCCACAGCATCATCCCTGTCCCAGGTTGATAATTTCTCTCCCTCCAGACACCATCCCTTCAAAACCGGAGTTGTTACAGATATTATATTGGTTTGGTCCTATTGTAAAGTGCTGAAAGATATGAAGTAAAAGGTATTAAATGCAGTCAAAGAGTGGAAAACTAGACTTGCAGGAGTGATAAGAGGTTTTGCTTGTTTTCCATCCATATGAAAGTCTGCACATGGCAGTCTGGAGAGCACAAAAAGGGGAACAAGACCAAACCCTCCCTGTGTCCAGCCTGGAAAACATGAAAAGAAAGTCTCATGATATGGTGATCCCCCACTGCAAACCCGAGAGATGGATAACATCAACCTGAAGCTGAATAAAACATTAAAATCCTCCGATAAGAAAAGGCTGTGAGGAACTACTTATACATCACCACCACCTGCTGGGTACCTCGGGAAGGATCCTCAGACCCTGCCACCCTGCCAGGCAAGGTCACCCCAAAAACCATTAGGGACCCCACAAAAGCAGCTGCCTACCTCTCTGACAGGTATTTCAATGCAAGTAGAGCAGTCTCACACTGGCAGTCTGAGAGCACTAGGGGTTTAAAAGCATGTGTGAAGCCAATCTCTTTTGTTAATGCACGAATCCCAAGCAAAATAACAGGCAGCTGGTGGAGGATGGGATTAATAAAGAGTTAAAGAAAGGTAAAATAATTAGGGTCCTGCTCGTGGGGCATATGGAGAATGGGGCTTGTCAGAGCAGCTTGCTCTAATTTTTCATGGAGATTACAAATTTTAGTGGAGAGAGATAATAGCGTTGCTGTAACGTACTTAGGCTCTTGTAAGCCATTTGATCTGCCCCTGCCTGACACTCTGATTAATAAACCAGAACGACAGCAAATCGACATGCCACACAAGATGTGCAGGAAAGCAGCAAATGAGGACAGTCAAAGGGGATTAAAAAGGGGAACAACCTCCAAGAGAGTGTCTCCTGAAGCATCCCCAACTCCCACCCCATCTCACATGGGATGCAGGAGAGAAGAGATAACCCTCCTGGAAGTGGAGAGGGTGTGGGCTGCACTGACCATGTGGGTCCCTGGTCAGGGGCAGCAGCTCTGCAGAGTATCTGGGTGCTGCCCCATGGGATGTCCAGCTCAGTCCTTGTCTGCTGGAGCTGAAAAGCTTTTTGCAGCCCTGGATGTAAGGCAGGATCCTGCCAGAGCAGGGGCACACTGTGTTTCTCCAGCCCCTTTGAATTCTACTGCCAGGACCTGGGGAACGTGCCCTTGGGAGACTCTCCCAGGAGCAGAACTGTGGATCACACCCAGCAGATCTCCACCCCTACTGTGCCTTCACAAATCCAAATCCTCCTGCCTCAAAGGCCCTCAAGCATAACTAGAAGTGGTTGCTAATTAAAGGCTTACACTAAGGACCCACCAGTGGGCTGACCTCTTCCTTGGGAAGTTACACAGGGCATGATAAAAACATCAAAGATGCTAAAAGGTTGGTAAGGAGGAACTGGGGAGTGCTGTGCTGGAGTTTTGGCCTGTCCCATCTAACCTCCCCTTCACTGCTGCCTTGCAGCACTGGATTCTCCTCACCAGCAGCCCCAGAGAGCCTACACACCAGGGCTGCCCCCACCACTTTGGTCATTATCCCCAGGTTCTGGCACAAAATTTGCCACACCACTCCAAGCATCCTCCCCAGACCACTGGAGAAATCCCAAAACCAAGCCCTGTCCCTCTGCAGCTCACATGGCCCCTCTGCTCCTGCCCTTTCTTTTGAGAAGGGACAGGCACTGTGGGCAGAAATGCTTTTTCATCCAGAAAATGCCAGTTCATCAAAACACTTCCTAAGAAAAGGTCACTTCAAACAAATTTTTCTTTCCAAAAACCTTCTGGGAAAAAAAAAAAAAAAAAGACATGCAACATTTTAGCTATCCAGTTTCAACAGCTTTAAATGAAAAATAAGTCTTTTCTCCCTCACCCCACCCAGGTGCCAAATGATTTCATTTGGAAATGCAAGATCGTTATCTTCTTTAAAAAAAAAATCAAATAAAAAGGGTGAAATCAAAAGAAAACCTCTGGAAAAAGTTAAAATTAAACACTTCACTGAGTCCAATGCAACAAGTGGGAGTTGGGCTGAATTCTGCCAGGTTCCCTGGTGTGGCTTTCATCCCAGTTTGGGGCGGGACAGGATTCCCAAGCCTTAGCAAGAATCCCAGTACAGTGGAGCTGGCTCCCATGACCCATGCTAGCACAGGCTTTGCAGGACACGGTGACACAGCCAAACATCTTACAACCCATGAGCTTGCCAGGAGCAGGGACCCCACACCTCGTGACATGTCAGAGCAGCAGAGCTTCAGGGGCAAAAAGTGTCAGTGGGGCTGAGGGTGCCCAAGGGTGTCTGTGGCATGCAGCACAGCCCCAACTCTAGAATGGGAAGCAGGGGCTGGTGTTTCCCTTACAGCCTCCCCACACGTGCCTGCAGTCCCCCGACAGCATCCCCAGCCCTCAGCTGTTACAGTTTAGGCTGCATGGAGAGCGGGAATGCCAGCAATCAGGCATTCAGAAGGGAATCCAGGCCCGGTTCAATATTGAAAGAAGAAGGGCTTTGAAAGGAGTACGCTCATTTCCCTGTTTTGTCCTTTGCCAAGAAAACCAGGGGGATGGAGGAAGGGGCGAAGGGGTGGGGGGAACAGTGGAAAAAATGTCTTGGCTTGGCCCTCTCTGCCTTTTATCTCATGGGCAGCCTGCCGAGACAGGGTCTTCCCCCTGCTGAGCCCTCTGGCAGATCAAATGAAAGGAGAGAAGAGTTATAACCCCCCTGACTGCGGCCCCCTCCCTTCAAGGAAAAGGAGAGGAGGAAAAAGCAAATGGCCCTGTGATGCCAACAGTTCACACCCCAGCTGGATGGGAAACATCATGAAAAGTCAGCTCCTCAGCATCCATGGGGGGGCCAGGAGATGTTCTACCCCACCAGCAAAGGGAAGTCCACAAAGATCCAGATGGGGCTGGAGAGTGGGCTGTGTCTCCATGGAGGGGACAGCACTGCTCCATGGCCTGGACCTAAGGGGGAAGGCCACCAATGGTCCTGGCAAGCATCTCCCACGAGGTTCCCACTGTGCCTGTTCCTCCATAGTGCCCGACCTTTCAGAGCCAGCTTCAAGCAAATAGCTTAATTAAATGCCTTTATTCCAAGGACTCCCTCTGTGTGTTTGTGTATTTGTGGATTAGCAGTTAATACAGTAAGAGGCTTTATTGTAACTAAATTGATTTCTTCATCTTTTTTTTTTTTTTCCCCCTTCTGTTTGGATGCTTTTGTGCCCTCTTCCCACTCCCCAGAGTGCTCTCCCTCATCACAAGGCTTCCCATGCTGATCCTCACCTTCACTGCCAGATGGCACTGATAAGGGTGTGGTGGTGAAGAGATCACAGCAAGAACCTATCCAGCAGGATCTGAGGGACTAACGACAAGGAAGGCATTCTTTTTTTAGGGTGGACATGTAAGTAAGGGAGCATTGGCTGTGTTATTGCATAGGGCAGAAGAGACCCCTGCTGTTAATGGGGGTGTTCACCTTGACAGCATGGTGGGCAGAGTAGGGAAAAAAATCTGCAGCCATCCCCAATCCAAGGCCACTATATTTCCCAAGGTAGGGAGGCCACAGATCCCCAGTGGGAAACCTCAACTTCAGCCCCACCTGCAGACCCCTGAGGATTGCTTGGCAGGCTCTACAATCCCACCATCTTCCTCTTTCCAGTGCAATTCAACTTCCCTACAATATAATTTAAACATTAACTGCCTGTAGCATGTTGGCCCCATGTATGACTGCAACATACCCGTGTGGAATTTGAATCAATGAATTCCAGACTTTGATAGTCCACCACCCAGTATGTCCAGACTACTCCAAAAGCTCAGTGCTCACAGCTTCTTGCTGTGGTTAATTAGAAAATCAGTAAATGCAGTCATTACCCAGTCTGGGATGTGGACACCTTTCTGGGCTTCCCAGGATGGGTGCACACCTGGGCTCCACTCTCCTTCCTTTTTTTCCTTTGTCTCTTCCTCTTCCTTCCTTCTTTACAGCCTGTCTGCTCCTTCCTGCTTTCCCTCCTTCTCACTTTCCTCCTTCCCTCCTGTTCTCCCCTTTCCCTCTCTCCTTGCCCCATGTTCCCTGTCCTTGCACCGGCCAGCAGAGCTGCCCTCTTCCCTTCCCCTCCCTGGCACCAGGAGCCAAGGCCATAATTAAACTTGGCTGGGAGGAATGTGAATCAAAAGTCTGTTAAAAAAGAAAAGAAACGAGGGTACCTGTGGGATTACGTGAGCCAGAAAAATGCAAAGCCGGCTTCCAGCCGCCCATAAAATAGATGCCGTCTCCTTTCCCATTGGCAGGGTTTGGCTGAACACAAAAGGCTAAGAAGAGGATTTTTATGGGAGTTATTTATAGCCTGTATGAATAGTGGTGTGCCTGTCAGAGTG